CAACCTCACCAAAGCTCAGGACTATCTCAAGAGCTTCTCCGAAAGCAGCCTTGACGTCACCGCCAAACAGGAGCTGCAGAACCTGATTGAGCACTGGGAAAGAAAATCAGCAAAGCTAAAGGAAAGCCTTTCCTTTGGGCACAAGCAGATGTCGATCACCAAGTTCTTCGTGGTCAACAAAAGCACCAGCAGCTCCCAGCAGGGCGGCGACAAATCCGAGCCAAGCAAGTAATGTAATTCCCTCAACAGAGCCTAACCCCGTTTTGGTGGCTATTCACTTTTTGAAACCCTTTACGTTTTTTGTCAACAAAGTATATTCATGTTCATTTATAAAAATAGTTTATTATAAAGAAAATAGAAAAATAATCTATTGCTAACCGGTACCGATTGAATGTGAGAAGAGAGGAATCATAATTTGATAATAATTTGATAAGAACAAGAGAGGAACGTAAGGAGTAGTAGAAGTTTTGTACAACCAGGACGATTTTCCCCGACAGTAGAAGAAAAAGAGCTAAGAATATCAAACGTGGTTTAATGTAGGAGGCATGCACAGTAGGCGGCTTTGGGTAGTAAGTTAGGTTTGGGTAAAGTCTGTTTTGTTTAGTAGCTGCAGCATTTTTGGGGCGGTTTCCACTAGTGACCACACAAACACTATAAGGGCGCCACTTGGAGACGCAGCTGTGGCCGCTTAAAGGCCGCCCCGTAGGTGACCGCCCAGGCGAGCATGGCCCACATGAAGCCGGCCACCTTCTGCTCCCAGGTGTGGTAGAAGAAAGACGTCTGAATGATCATAAAGTCCCAGACGAGGGTGACCACGGCGTTGACGGTGACGGTGAGCAGTGCCAGCAGGTGAAAGGGCGAGAACCGAAAGCGATATGGCGTGGCGTAGTTCATCGACCGGCTTGAGTCCCAGCTGATGTAGCGAAAGACGGTAAACTCCTCAAACTTCCGACTGAGGAAGGTGAGCTCTTCGATGCGAATCAGATTGGAGAAGACCATCAGGAAGATGTGTCCGCTGATGTCGAAGCCTAGTTGCCACTTGCCCTTTAGCCTTTCGCACTCGACGCGATCGTTAACCGAGTCGATTATGGCTGCAAAGGAGAGAGAGGTTTCAAATGAGAGCATTGAAAACGAGATGACACAAGCTTTGTACAAACTTACTGGCGTTCTCCTTCAAACGACATTCGCCATTCAAATTGGCGTAGTAGACGAAGAAGTTGACCGAGTAGTACCAAATGAGAGTGGCGACGGCCAGTCTGATGAACGTGGAAAACAGTTCTCGGCCGATTAAAATGGCCGTGTGCTTCCACGCTTTGCTCAGATCAGTGGCCGTTGTCTCCTCTCCTTCCGAGGCCTCATGCACCTCCACCACTCTCTTGTCAAGCTGATCATCGACGCTTCGGTCGATGGTGACAACGCCATCCGGACGGTCCTCGAGTGGTTCTCGAAAGTGGACGCTCTTTTTGCGCTTCGAGCTGAGGCCTCCCTGGTCCAGCCTCAGGTCCCTTTCCTTGGACCGCTTAATTAGGTAGAAACGAGTGTAGAGGAAGAAGGGAATCAGTGATATGAACGTCCACAGCCAGCCGAGCTTGACAAAGTACAGGTTGAGAAAGTTGCGCTTATGCGTTCTAAGATTTAGATTTATCCACTCAAGGACGGAGATTGGCAGTGGTGAAGAGGGTGAAGCGAGTAAAAAGTCCCGAACGAGACCGGCGATGATGATGAGGGAAAAGTATGCGAGTAACCGCTTGGTGAGGTATTGTTTGTGGTGATAGTAAATGCCGATTTCTGAAAAAAAAGTTGAGCAAAGGAAAAAAGGGTTTAGCACTTTGAGTGTTCCACATAAGCCGGAGAGGCACTTACTCATGAGCCATGTTAGTGCCTTGGATACGGGTACCATCAAGTACGATTTGCGTCCCTTGTAGAGCAGAAAGGAGTCTTCGTAGAGCTGCTGCTTCGTCGGACTGGATGAACTGGAACAGCTGTAGTTACGTATGCTCTTCCGTGGTGAGATGATCGGACATGAGGATATGCCGCCACTGCCACCACCACTGCCTCCAGCAGCAGCAGCAGACCCGCTGACAGGACTGGACGCAGTGGCCGGCAGCAAGTCGCCTGTGGGATCAAAGTGCAAACAAGGAAAAGTTGTACTGCTTGGCAATAAATTTTGCGAGTGCGTTATATATGTCACCAAGTATAAGTAGGAAAGAGCGAGATAGTGTGTGGCTGCCAGAAAAGTAAGTCGTCGGACAGTGCAATGAACGATAGTTGGTTGATGGTTGATGGTTGGACAAGAAGTGCGCTTCGGGCAGCAACAATAAGTGTAAACAATGACTGCAAAGAATCCGACTAAACTAATCAGCTGAATCGATGCTGTCAAAACACTGATGTAAACATTCTGCAATCTCTCTCTCGCATGACCCAAAGTGCATTTCATTTTTTAAGAACATAATCTACAACCATCCACCCTTCTTTTTCTAATCTCAAATTAGATCATGCGGCCATTAATTCAACTGCAAATTGCAAGCAGACCAAGCGGAGACATAAAACACGATTGGCAAAAAATAGTGTACGAACCTCCATCGGAGTTGGCATTATCTTGGTTGCCACTGGATTTGTCGCGAGTGCGCTTAATTAATTGCATCGTAGAGGTAGTGGTGAGTGCTCAAACAGTGAAAAACAGTAATAATAACAACAACAAATTAGGAGAAATTAGAGAAGAAAACGATAAGATATCTCATAAAAGTGAATCCATTTGGAAGCCAGTTTCGCTGTCTTGCTGTGTTGTTTTTGCGTGTGTGTTTTCGCAACGGGATTTTTTTTGGTGCCAAATGGTCATTCGCAGAAGACGTGCATCTGCGGTCATTCGAAAACAAACAGCGTTTGAGTTCCTCAAATCTTCATCTGAAGATTCCAGCGGTTCCAGCGGAAATCTTAAAGCGTCAGAATGTCTTTGACATTGACCACGAGGAAGGTCAGTCACAGAAGAGGATAACAGGTGTTGACAGGACAACCCATCAGCGGTGGAGGACGCGCCGTTGCTCGGGAGAAACGATTGGAGGGATGAAGAAGCGGTTGCGACCTTCCATCTTCGCTAGTGTTTTGTCGCAGTCGTCGTCAGTGATGGTTGGAAAAAAGAGGTTTCTCGATGTCTGGTCAGCAAGTGCTGTACCACTGACTGGTCGTTGCCAGGTGATAGTACGAGGTGATACTAGGTGAGGATATCTCTCTCTCTCTCTCGCTTTCGCTCGCTTGCCGTAACAATTTATGACTTTGCCGTTCTACAACAGATTTCATCCATTTCCCCTGGCAAACTCTTTCAAGGCTCTACACCACCACCAACAACTGCAGCTCTCTTTTTTACCACCGGTACGGTAGTATTCTACGACGACTATCTGCTTTGTTGTCACTGGTTTGTTGTCTAGTTATCATCTCCGCCTCACTTTCACCCTCTATCGGCCCCAGTTTGACTGGTGCACACATACACCAACACACATGATGAAAAAGACACTGTTGGTGATACTTTTTTATGACAACAGGTGCGCACAAATGAGCACACAAACGACTCTTCATGATTATGTCTGTCTCTTATTTAAGTGGCAGGCAAACAACGGGACTGCACGAGGAGAGGACTGCAACAAGCAAAGTGCAGTGCAAACATCAGGAGAAGTGCCACCAACGCACCTCAGTTAATGCACTTCTACCCACACGCGCTCACATCGAACCAGACGACGACGAACCAGAGACAGCGACAGAGATAGAGAGAAGAAGAAAGATCTACTTCAGTACTCCACCAACCTACTGCTGATCCTCATCATCATCATCAGCTGTCACAGCCACAGGATGGACCACCATTGTTCTCCTCTCTTTTACTTCTTCTTCACATATCTTTTACTCCTTTCCACATACTTTCTCCAACCTTCAAGTGCCGCACAAGTCGAAGTTTCATCTCAGCTTCACAGTCTCAAAGCACACCACCACCACGAGTTGGGCTCCTTCTGCAATCCTGTGGAGGGCTGCCTGCGGCCCTCGTTGACGTGCCACAAGAACCGCTGCGAGTGTGCACCTGGCTACGGGCGAAGTGATGAGAATGGAAAGGAGGCGGCGGAGTGCACTAGAGTAGTCTGCCAGAGACACGAAGACTGCAAACTACTGCTGGACCCAGGCCGTCGCTGCCACCAAGGTGCCTGCTCTCGCTGCAAGGACGGCCTACAGCTGGACACTGTCGTCAATCGATGCATCAGCCGCCTCGGCTTCGCCTGCAACAGCACCCGAGACTGCCTGGCCGACAGTTCGCTGTTTCCTCTACTGAATACTGAAGACAACAACAACAACAACATTTCTTTAATCGATGACGCCGAGTCCTCGCCTCCAATTTGCCGCAGTGGCCGGTGCGTGTGCCGTGCCAGTGACTACCCGAATGAGGACTGGTCCGCATGCCAGCGACGGCGCCGAGGCTGCACCTCACATAGCGACTGCAACCCCTTCGGCGACGACCCGTACCGGTACTGCAGCAGCTCTCGTGGGGAGTGCCTCTGCAAGCTGGGCTACTACGAGGAGCCGGTCGCCGGCGGTCTCTGCCTGCCCTACGTGCCCCTTCAGTTCTCGCTGATGATGCCCTTCTGGCTGACGCTGATCATGCTCACCATCTGCATTCTCGTCTACGTCTCACGACGACTGGCCACCTCGGGCAGGGCAGCTGCAGTGGTTGTGGCAGCAGAGAATGGAGGCTCAGCAACGACCGCAGTCAGCACTACAGCAACGGTAGTCAGCCCTGAAGTGGACGCCCTAAACCGCCCTCCGCCGAGCTATGAAACGGTGGTCAAGACCCCTGCTACTACTGTCCCCTCAACGACGCCACCAGCCAACTAGTCCCCACTAACTAACAAACCTAACACACTGGCAAACCTTTTTTTAATTTCTGTACATAATATGAACATATTTTCTTTTTTCCGATTTCCGACCTGCACTCCTCCTCCACAACTCACAGTTCATCAGCTTTAGCCCTTTGACTTTGAGCTGCTGACGCCGGCCAGCTCCTCCGCCTTGAGTGTGTCGGAGAGGTCGTGCGCCGCGGCGTACTCCGCCGCCACCCACTCGTGGTTGATCAGCTGAATGAGGCGCTTCCTCGCCGCCGGATCGGGCGTCAGCATGGCGGCGGTGATGTCGGTCAGCCCCGGGGACACCGCCCCCTCCTTCATCTTCTCCAGCGGCCACTCGTACTTCCTGCCCTTCATGGCGGCCAGCAGCTCCGCCGGCGGCCGCTTGAAGTCAAAGGGCGACTCGAGCGTCATGAGGAGGTAGAGGGCCACGCCCAGCGCCCAGACGTCGACCTGGAAGGCGTCGTACTTCTTCTTCTCGTACAGCTCCGGCGCCATGAAGAGGGGCGTGCCGCAGACGGTCTTGCTCAGCACTATCGCCCCGCTCGCCGGCTCCTTCTTCACGGTGGTGCTCAGGCCAAAGTCGGTCACCCGGAGGAGGTAGTCGCCGCTGATGGAGCGGTCGTTCGCCACCAGCAGCACGTTCTGCAGCTGAAAAGAGAATTTAGTGAAGTGAAGTGAGGTTAGAAAGACACAAATGGTAGGCAAGGCGCAGCAGATTGACCTTCACATCTCGGTGGGCAATGTTGTAGCCGTGCATGTGATTGATGCCGCAGAGAATCTGCGCAAAGTACTTCTTCCCCAGGGCCTCATCGGGGACGCCCGTTTTTTGGATGTACTTGTACAGGTTGCCCCCGTCGGCCAGCTAAAAAAAGAGTTTACTGGTTTAGTTTTGTAAAGTTAGCAAAAAATGTACTACCCACCTCCATGAAGATGTACATGTTGTTCTTGCCGTCAATCTGCACGATAAAGTGACAGTGCAGCCGAATGACGTACGGGTGGCGGACCTGCTCGAGGATCGTCAGCTCATTGCGGGTGTCCAGCATGCGCGGGTCATTGTCTGCGATGCCCAGGTCCATCCACTTGACGGCCACCTTCACGCCTTTCCGATTGTCGCTGGCGATGAAGATGGTGCCGAAGCCGCCCTTGTCCAGCTGCTTCTCGATGGTGTACCCGAATGCCTTCACGACGTCCTCCTTTGTTTTCATGTTGTCGCACGGCAGTTTGTAGTAGCGAGTGATCTCCTTTTCCTTGCCCTGCTTCTTCTTCTTCATCGAGCCGGTGCTCGCCGTCGACTTGCTCGACTTTGATTTGGGTTTCGCTTTGGGCTCTGTTTTGGGTTTCATCTTGGAGGACTGCTTCACCTTGGATTTAGGCGGAGGTCGAGGGAGTAAGGTGCCGCTGGCTGGGCCTTTGGTGCTTTTCGATTTGGTCTTTGTCTTTTTAGGCGGCATTCTTTCCTTTTTGCTTTTTGTGAGTTAAAAGGATGCTCCCAAAGCGTGTCAGCTGGGTCTAGTCACTTTTATTATGGTCGATTTAAGTATAAAAGTTCTAGAGTTTTGCAGATTCGAATTCGCCTGTGTTTTCTACTTTCATTAGTTTTAACAACGGTTTTTATTTTCACTTTGTTTTTATTGACTATTCAATTCATCATGTTAGCCCTTTTCCTGTCTCTGGTCACCACCATCTGCTTTCCTGGCTGCTGTCTTTCCTCCACCAGCAGCCGTGTCACCACCCTCTCCATCAACCCCCTGCTCACCCCCTGCAACAGCACCGCCGATTGCACTGCCGAGCATGGAATGTGGGCCATCTGTGAAGAGGAGCACTGCATCTGCAGCAATGGCACCACATTCCACGAGAAGACCTGTCTCTCAAAGGGTGATGAGGTAAAAGCTTTTTTTCACAAGTTTCTGTTCAACCTCTAATTTTACCCCCTTCCCTACAGGCACTTCTGCACATCTTCGGCTTCGAAGTTCACCTCAGCTTTCNAGAGGAGCACTGCATCTGCAGCAATGGCACCACCTTCCACGAGAAAACCTGTCTCTCAAAGGGTGATGAAGTAGGAGCTTTTTTTCACAAGTTTCTGTTCAACCTCTAATTTTACTCCTTTCCTACAGGCACTTCTGCACATCTTCGGCTTCGAAGTTCACCTCAGCTTTCTGCTGATCATCCTGGGCGTCATCTTTTGCCTGCTCACCCCGCTGGCGCTGTACATTCTCTGCACCTGCAACTACTGCTGGAAGATGATCGGAGAGGAGGTGAGAACAGAGGAGAAGGAGGCGGAGGCTCGTCGATCAGAGGAGCTGATGCTGCGAATCGCCTCCACCAAGACCTTTGTCGTGTCGCAGCCATCCTCCAAAAGTCTCTTTCAGCCGCCCAGTCAAGAGAAGGTGTGGGGAGTCGTCGGTGGTGGTGGTGGAAAGTCGACTGCTGCTGTTGCTGCTGCTCAAAAAATCAAAGGACAAATCAAAGAAGAGAAAAAGTAGCAACATACTAGTAGAGAAAGAGGCAGTATATTTTACTGAGATTAAGATAAATAAAAACCACCGTTAATCAGAGCTGATGAACACGCTGAGGGTGGCAATCTTGGCCACTACACCTGCTGATTGAGACTGCTGTGGTAAGAAGAGGTAAAAGAAAAAGAAAACATGCACAATGCTAATGGTAAAATAGTTGCAAGAAGGGTAAAATAAGAGAATAAATAAATAGAAAGAGTAGATAGAATAAATAGTGTAGAGGAAGAAGAAGAGGAAAATGCCCAGCGCCCAAACTAGCCTTTAAAATGTCCCTTCACCGTTTGCTGGAGAAAGTCATTGAAGTCAGTGCTAAAAGCCGATGTGTTCAGAGACTTTCCAGCAGGTGGCTGACCGCCGCAAAAAGACTGACCAGAGGCACCGTTGGATGTCACAGCTGGCTGTGGCTGCAGTGGCACGCTGGCAAACGGATTCAAAACACCAAAGTTGCTGTACACTGGTGCTGATGCAGGAGCAGGAGCAGCAAAGGGGTTTGTCGGCACAAGTATAGGCTGCTGCTGCTGAGGCTGAATGGGACGTCGCTGTGGTGGGGGAGCTTGTGAAAAGTACTGTGATTGCTGCACTGGAGTGAAGGCAGTCTTGGGCAGTGGCGAGGTCGAATAATCATCAAGCAAATCGCCTTCACAATTAGCAGCTTGGTATTTACCACCAGCACTGCTTGGAGGAGCTTGTCGGCCACTGGAGGACCCCACCAGATCGTCGAAGAGGTCAGACATTGAGGAAGCAGAGTGCTGCTTCTGCTGGTCGGCGCCAGAGTTAAAGTCGCACAGCAGCAGCAGATCGGCAGAGGGCGGCTGCGATGACTGGAACGGCGGCGAAGGTCCCTCCTCCTCACTGCGTCGATTAGTTTCCAGCCCAGAGACAAAGGTAACGTGGTGTTCTTCGCGAGGTTCACCCTTGCCACCGTTGCCGCCGCCGCCGCTTAGAATGGACTTCAGCGAGGATGACTTCGCCGACTTGGTCGGATTGCCCAAGTCACAGTGGCTCGCAAAGGGCAGCGTAATGTTGTTGTTGTTGTGGTTGGTGATGATGGTCGTTGTTTTGTTGACGCTGGCAGTGTGGGCGCCGGTGTTGCTGGTGGCAGCATCAGCCACTGCGGCCACCAGAGAGGGCGTCGAGAGGAGCGACCCGGCCATGTGAAAGAAGCCGCCCGAAGAGGAGGAACCGGGCACCTTTCCACCGCCAAACTTGACCATCAGCTGCTCACTGGCGGCGTTCATCTCGGCAAACTGCTGCAGCAGACGGAAACAGCGCTCCGCCGTCCGCGGACTGGTCGCGTGAAAGGCAAAGACGTCATAGCCGCTGAGGCTGCTTCGCTCGCCCAGTGGATAGTTCAGCAGGGGACTTCTCACGCCCGAGTCGGTCGAGGTGTCACTCCAGGCATTGCGAGTGGTAAAGTAGAAGAAGGTGGCGTCACGCTTGCTCAGGCGGACCAGGTCAATGGCGGTGCCCTTGATCTCTAGTGGCAGTGCATTCTCCTCCTCCTCCTGTTGCGGTTGTTGTTGTTGTCGCTGCTGCTGCTGGTCGTCAGTGAGTAGAGCCTCCCACAGCTTGACACCCTGCCCGTCAAATTGCATTTTGACGAAGCTGAGAAAGCTCTTGCTGTGCTGCACCTTCTTCGCGAACATCTTCATTACCATCATGCGCGCAGTGCGGTCTGCCGGCACTGCGCAGTTCATCGGGACGTGGCCGCGGAAGATGGAGAGCATCTCAATTGAGCTGAAGTCGTTCGCAGAAGAGGTGGTGATGGTGGTGGTCGTGGTGGTGGAGGAGGAGGCAATGTTGCCCATGTTGGCTGCTGGCTCGGCGGTTGAAGAGGAGGCGGCGGCGGTGGAGGACGGCGCGATCTGAGGGGGAATCATGGTGGAGGGCGTGATGATGAGAGGCATTGTTGAGGTGAGCTCCCGTAGAGTGAAAGAGCGCGGAGAGTTGCCGCCGCCCATGACTGCTGATGATGAGGGCTGTTGATAGGAAACTCGCTGCATGGTCTTTCAAACAAGAAAGAAAGAGGGTTTGGGGAGAAATGAAGAACAGATGCGAATGGGTGTGCGGGCAATGTGAGGACAAGATGCACTGACGAAGATCTCTCTCTTTATAGTCCTGATCACTAGGCACTGTTGCACTTGTCAACGGGCAATTTGACTCACAGTTGAACATTTTGACCATTTTGGGCATTCTCAAGTTCAACTGCATCATCTGCTGCACAATTCAAAGTTCATCGCCATCAGTAGTGCCATTGCCGTTCGCCAGGCGTCACTTGCGCTGGCTTGCTGCCAACGTTTTTTGCCCGTTTATATCTGATAAACTTTATCGGTTCAGTTTGCAACTGTGACAGCAAACCGGCAATCGTTAATCTCTGTCACACATTTTTTCTGCCACCCTTATCGTCCTCACCAGTCATTGGGTTGAATTGTGTTCGTTTGGTTCTTTTCCGTGCTCCTGAAAAAACACACGCCAAGTTTTTTCGGTTTGTCGCTTCTCGTCTTTCTTTTATCTTTCTTCACCATCTTTCCTATCATCACCATCATCCCGCCAAGTAGGTCAAGTGGGTGATAAATGTGGTAACAAGTCACCGAAAATCTCAGAGCACTTTCTCTCTCCATCTCTTCTTCTGAAGATGTTTATTGTTTTCCCCTGTATAATTTTCTCCTCTTCGTCTTTCCGACTTATTTGTACCAAATCCTTCTTGATTACAAACGGAGTTGATGATTTATTGGAGTTGGAAAGCAGTCTCTGAGTTTCGCTTACACTTTGATCGAATTGCACTCTGTCTGAGCTCACCGCATCACATGAGCAGCAGCACATCGTCGTGTCACACTTGTCACCCCTGCACTTCAGTCTTCAATTTCATTCTGCCGCTGCCAGCAGCACGAGAAGGCAAAGTGTGACTGTAAAGGCAGGCAGACAGATAGATAGTAACAACAACAATTTGCTTTATATCGATATCTTGGCGGAGATGCCGAAACTCTATCCACAGCGTGGAAGAAAATCGTCAATAGACAAAGAAAGAAAGAGAAACTGCCGCCGCCGAATGAATGTCCTTGAACGTAAACTGCCGTCTGCTCATCTTTCCTCTGGCTATCGGCATCAACATGGCTCTTTGTCTTGCTGCCCCGTATTTTATTGCGCTTTGCATCTCCAAAGGCGACCGCCGCCGCCGCTGTACACAACAACAGTGGTGAGAAGGTCCAATGGTCGGCGATGGATTCACACTGATACGACCGTGAGTTCCAACTGCCACTCTATTGATTTGCAGCAGCACTGCACTCTTCTACACGCTCCACTGCACCAGTGCAGTCTTTAAAGTCTCGTAATCGGCTGATCAGCAGCAGCAGCAGCTGTGCCTCGTGTCCTCTGCGCCAAGAAGCGAGCAGCACTGTAATTTACGGAATTACCGGCCGATTAGGAGGACGTGTGAACAAGGGAACGGGAGAAGGGGAGAGAGAGAGAGAGTCACTGCCGAACGCCTTCTCCTTCCGAGACTTGTTACCATTATGGCCTCTTCACTTCTCCACTGCCTCATCAATCGGTCTCCGTCGTCAGCACACAGCACAATGACTTCCTCTTTGGCGGCAGCCTTTGTCCACTGAGTA